AAAAGAAATTTGAAAAACAGAAAGAAAAAAAAAAGCCAGGCTCTGAGGGCCACATCCGGTTATGTTCTAACCTTAAACTACTGCCTTGGAGTACATTCTGACTCCTAGTGACCCTCTGAGACAGAGGAGAACCTCCCCATAAGTTTCCAAGGCTTCCCTTGTAAGCGAATGGTAGGTTCCAACTGCCAGCCTTTTGCATAGCTGCCAAGGATTTACCCAGGGTTTCAAGTCTGGTACCCACGGAATGGCACTGTTGTCAGGGTAGAAATCGACTAAGCAGGCAAGCACCAGCCCACCTGTGAGGAGGTGTGCTTGGAGTGATGGCACAGGAATCGGGGCTTCCCAGATGTTAAAACCCATCTCTGTTGAGAGGGTCCTAACTGTGGTGACCTCACACAGCTCAGAGTGATCCTGTGCCCAGCATGGGCCAATGATCAGGCCTTTCTCCCATGGCACTTTGAGTGGCTTTGAACTACCAACATTTAGATTACAGCCTAGCTGTCATTGTTTGTACATAGGGAGGCCTGGCAGCACAGTGGTTAAGAGCTTGACCATTAACGGAAAACTCTTCTGTTCTAACCCTGCCACCAGTTCTGCAGGAAGAAGGTCCTAGACCTGTTCCCACAAAGGTGGCCTCCTGTGGAACTCTACTGGGCAAATCCACTGCAACACGAGGGTATTGAATCCGACCAACGCATGAACCACTCTTATCTGGACATTTCTAGAAGTGTGACTTGTACGCTTCTTGGGAACCGGACTGTTTCTTTCACCATTGTATTAGCTTCAGGACAGAGTCTACCTGAGCCATGGCCTCTGAGACCAGAAGGACTAGCTGGTGCTCGCTCCCACTACTGGCTAGTCTATCATGGCCATGAAAGATGGACCTTGATAGAATGAGAGGGACAGAGCCTCAAATGACCAAAGCCAAACCACGCTAACTGGACCAACTGAGAAGGAGGACTCCCCAAGACCACTGCCCTGAGATTCCTGTGGAATCCACTGTTATGAGGTACCACTGATTTGGGTAAGACTCATAGTGACCCGATGGCCAACAGATTTGCTCCTTGGCCTGTCCTGCACCACGCCCAGTCTCTGCCCTGTGCCAGCCCACTGTGGGAGTCACTCCATCAGTCCATCTGGCTTCCTCTCTTTCTCTGGCTTTCCACCTTCCCCAGCTTGCTGTCTCAGCAAAGACTGGTTCTTCTGGGGAGTATGTCCAAAGTATTTGAGACTAAGAGGCATGCTTGCCTCTAAGAAGTACTCTGGTAGGATTCTCTATAGAATATATTTGGTTGTTCTTTTTGGCAGTCTGGGGGACATTCAATACTATTCATCAACACCAAAGTTCAAAGACATCCATTCTTCTGTCATTTGTATTCACTCTCCAACTTTCAGATGTAAAAGAAGCAATGAAAAGACCATGGCTTAAATTGGGCCAACTTTAGTCTCCTAACCAACATCCTTGCTTTTCAGAACTTTGGAAAGGTCCTTGACAGCAGATTGCCCCAATGCAACATGTCTTTTGATTTCTTGACTGCTGTTACATGGGTGTTGATTGTGGATCCAAGTAAAATGAAATGATTGACAACTTCAATCTTTTCTCCACCTATCATGATGTTGCCTATAGGTCCAGTGGCGAAGATCTGTGTTTCCTTCATGCTGAGACGTGACCTATATTGAAAGCTGTAGTCTTTGATCTTCTGTAATAAGTGTTTCAAGTCTTCTACACTTCCTGCAAGCAAGATTATGCCATCTGTATAACATAGGTTGTTGATGAGTCTTCCTCTAACCCTGATGCTATATTCTTCTTCCTAGAGTCCAACTTCTTGAATGACCTGATCATTCAAGGGGTCTCTTGATCACTATACAGATTGAACAGGGACAGAGAAAGGATATAACTTTGACACACACCTTTCCTGATTTTAAACCATATAGTTCTTGTTCTGTTCAAAAAACTGCTTCTTGGTGTGTGTCTAGATTTTGTACAATTAAATATTCACACTCTCTGCTTTATTCATTGCCACTGTCATGACGTCTATGTCAGTCTGTCTTGTTGAGGATCTGTCTTCTGCCTTACCAGGCATCATGAACTGCCCAGGGAGTGGTCCTGACTGAGGTGATTTCAAATATATGAGACAAAGTCTGACAATGTCTCTTCTAAGGAGCATTGCGACTCTCCATCTTCCAGACATGTATTTCTTTTTCTTGCAGTCCATGGTAGATTTCACTTTTTCCTTTAGCAAAGTCTCACTGGTGGGTTCCACACAGTCCAAACAATCAATGCCACATTACCAGAGGACGTTCGCAGCCCATCTCAGGGCTATAATTTATCCCTATTCAGCATGTACATCACCCAGTAATCATTCTCTCCAATAGTAAAACACACCTCACACCTGAGGCAAACAAACCAAGATAAAACCAATAGACACAAATGTTGAGCTTAGTCAGTACGAGTTCTCAATCCCAGGAAGGAGGCACAGCACCAACACTGTTAGCATCCCAGACGAGAACCTAGTGGAGAGAGAAATCCCAGGCCACTGCTGTGCCCTGGAGTATAAACTCTGGGCTTGGATGCTGACCCTAGGGTTGATAATTCAAATTCACTCAACGGGACCTGGAAGCTGTGGCAGTCTACTTCCCAAAGACTCGGCCACTGAAAAACTCTTGGAGCTCACCTTTAGAGAATTCTGTCTACAGGATCAGACTGAAAACAGCAGTGTGCAAGGTCACATGGGAGGCTAAGGGGGTGGTGAGGGTCGGTGAATGTAGGAGGGACAATTTAAATAGGAGAGATGACAGAGGGCCCACCGAAGCCTGTTGTCCACATCACTGGGGTGTGTGGGTGATACTACCGGGTGGCGTGTGCTCCATATGCATTTCAGTCACAAGGACTCGGGAGAAAACCCGTAGACACATACTATGCCCACACGCTTGGGTCCCAGGGGATGCTGTGAACTCCATGCCAAATCACTCCTGATACTTTCATTTCACAAACAAAGAAGAAGGGCTGAGACCCAGAATAAAATATGCATCAAGCAAAAACCAGACCTACAGCCTTCAAGTTGATCCTTAACCCCAATGACTCTGCAGAGTGAAGAGTGGGTTACCCTGCAGGGTCTCTGAGGCTGACGTCCTTGCAGGAGCAGAGGCCTCTGCTCTCCCCTTTGGGACGACCTACAGCCTTGAACTGTGGCCTTCTGGTTAAACGCTGCGTCCTTTCACCACTGTGTGCTAGAGCTGCGAGAGGAGGTACCGGACACACACGGCCGCAATTCAGGCCACAGATTCATGATCATCAGACAGTAACTGCCCACCTCCAGTCAGCACGTCCAGGACACGGCTACCCGTCACTGGGCTTCCACAGCCCTTTCCACCTCAGAGCAGCCGGCAGATTTGAACTGCCAGCCTAATGCACAACACACTGACTCACCGTCAGGTGGCACGGTGTTCCCTTCTGTCTGGAATGGGTTTATCATGCGATGACTCAACATCGACAACTGGCGACGACAGGGACCAGTCTCGCAGGTTCTCCACACTCCACAGATCCCTTACCTGAGCTCCCATTTCAAGGCCTGCCTCCTCAGGAACGCTCTCCCCACCTCCTCACCTTCCTTCTGTCAGCTTCTCCTGTTCTTTCCCCGTTCAGAGATTAGAATGTCCTACATGACAGTTCCTTCTGTGACCCTCTGACGCCACACAGGCCCTACGTCACATGTCACATGTGACAGAACTGGGCCCCCAGGCTGCGATGTTGGTTGAGACAGGTCACCAGGTTGCTGTGGGAGGAGCACCTGGGTCCATTCACCCTCCAACCTCCAACCCAGGTCCTCAGGAGGCCAAGGCTTCTGGGACAGACTGGAATGTCTTCACACAGTCCCAGCAGAGTGGGCTTGTCTTTGCAATCAGCATCTTTATTTTCTAAATATAGTGATAACTCAGTGGGTGATATTTTGTGGGCCTCAGATAACCCAGGGTTGCCATGAGCTGAAATTGACTTATTGATAACAGATTTGGCGTTTTGACCAAAAAAAATACTTCTGTCAACACGACACCTGACCTGCAGTATTTGACACATTTTTTTTATTTAAAATAAAATTTTTATTTTATACTTGTTTACTTAAGAAGTTCGTATACATTGTTTCTCACACTGGATCTTTCCCATTTCCTCTTCCTACCCCTCCCTCCACTCATCAAATTGTGCAACCCTATGAATAACTACCCAGCCCATCCTTACCCACTCTGCTCCTACCCTGCCTCCTTGTGTCCTCATACATCTTCTCCAATAATGGTTTTATACAGTATTTGTCCTTATGGGACTGAGTTAGTTCACTCAGCATAATGCTCTCCAGTCCCTTCCAAGTCAGGTAGTGATTTACCACATCACTGCTCCTGCATGCTGCATAGTATTCCATCATGAGAATGACACAAATATTTTTCTCAGGTTAGATTCTCTCCCAGAAGATCCAGGACAGACTGCCACAGTAAGCCGCTTGGTTCTGTTCACCTTTGACTTACTCTACAGATCAATGATTAAAATCCAAAGACTGATTCAAATCTGAAATTAAGATTTTAAAGCTCTTAGGCAAACATGTACTTTCAACCCACCCAAAGGCAGGGCGAGTTCTCTTCTTTGCTCTAGATGTGAATCACATGGAAGGCTGATAACTGAGAGCTGAAAAGCTCCCCAGCCTTCTTCCCCCAAAACTGGAAGGAGAATTTCAACAGAGGCCTGTGGGGCTGGGGCCCTCAGCCTGGAAGGCTCCCTGACACAGTGGCAGCAAAACCAGTGGACCGCAGGCGAAGCTGAGACTCCCAAGTCCTAGCGAACCTGCTTCTCCAGCAGCTTGATGTTCTGCCTCCCAGCAGACACACTAGACTCCAGGAAGTCTGTTCACACCCTCCAGCATGTGCTAACATCAACCTGGAACCCGCTGTGCACAAGCTTGGCGCTGGTTCCCAGGAGGCGACGTGACCTCCTGACCCCTCCTGCATGGCCTCACCTGAGCTGGTGGATGCCGGGGACTTGCTGCGCCTGGACGGACCTGGGCTCTTGGTGGTGCCCCTGCGAGAGGATGGGGCGATCTTGGTGTATGAGGTGGACTTGACCACACGGCATTCTGGGGACAAAGACAATAGTCATTAGTGGAGATGCCATGTCCTCCCCCACAGCACACAGCACATTGGCCATGCAAATAGGTAGCCAGGAGGGCAGCCACCAGCTGTACAGGCCCAGCCTCAGCTCCACAGGACCTGTCCGCCAGGTGCACAGGCCCTCAGCTCCACGGGACCTGTCCGCCAGGTGCACAGGCTCTCAGCTCCACGGGATCTGTCTACAGGTGCGCAGGCCCTCAGCTCCACGGACCTGTCCGCCAGGTGCATAGGCCCTCAGCTCCACGAGACCCGTCTGCCAGGTACATAGGCCCTCAGTTCCACACAGTGCACAGGCCCTCAGCTCCACGGGACCTGTCTACAGGTGCACAGGTCCTCAGCTCCACAGGACCTGTCCGCCAGGTGCACAGGCCCTCAGCTCCACGGACCTGTCCACCAGGTGCACAGGCCCTCAGCTCCACGCGACCTGTCTACAGGTGCACAGGCCCTCAGCTCCACGGGACCTGTCTACAGGTGCACAGGCCCTCAGCTCCACGGGACCTGTCTACAGGTGCACAGGCCCTCAGCTCCACAGGACCTGTCCACCAGGTGCATAAGCCCTCAGTTCCACGCAGTGCACAGGCCCTCAGCTCCACGGGACCTGTCTACAGGTGCACAGGCCCTCAGCTCCACAGGACCTGTCCACCAGGTG